CCCACTGGGTAATTCTTATAAAAATGTTTTAAAATTCATAATATAAATAATAGTAGCCAACTGTCTTATTCCTTCACCACTTTCTTTTCCTCTTCCATACCATTTCACACCTTCAAAATCCTCCTTCTCCTTCTTTTTCCCCCTCTTTTTTTTCTTCTGCTCTTTAGTCTTCCTCTTCGTCCTCCCCCTGCCGGAAAGCTATTCAAAAAGTGTTGGATATTAAGCTCTTTCAATTAATTATATTTCATGCAGATTGTGTAATATTGCAAAATCAGGTTACATCATTTCTTAAAGAAGTATGCCTTATTTTTTAAAGTTAGTTCGGGTTATAAGTTTTATTCAGTTAGATTTTTGGCCAGCCATCAATGAACAATGAATTTAGTATGACGCTGGAAATCAGTGTCATAGGACAAGATTCAAACCCCTGTTTCAATCTATTATAGTTGAGTAAAATATGTAAAGGCTATAAACTCTATCTTATGAGAGAGGGCAGTGCAGTGTTGAAATACGCGTAAAAATCAAACTCGTCTACGGATAAAAATCTGAAATGAGTAAATTGAACAAAAGATTTGACTTAATTGATGAAGTAGAAAAGGTGCTGTGAAGATAACTGACATTTAAAAGTCTACAGCAGGGTAAAATCTGGATTTAGTTAAGTGAAAGAAGGATTTGATTTTATGAAGAAGAAAAGGTGCTGCGAAGAGAATTGACATTCTCAGGCCCACGGTACAGTTGGATTTCACAATCAAATGACGCGTCAGTCAACAACAAGAAGACGAAGCTCTTGACTTGGACAACACTTGTGTTGTAATTCGCAGCACTCCCTACACACAGTGTCAATTTCCCCGAAAAACCAGGGCACATCATGGGAACTGGGGAACGGGACACCTCGATAAGCTTCCTGGTAAGCACTGAGTCAGGACTTCCCTTATTCATGGTGTGAGGCCCTTGAAGTAAGTTGCTTTTCCTATGAGGGGGTGCTTTGTCATGTACCGTACAAAGATGTCTACTTGAATGACACCGTGACAAACATAAGGATACGACATGACGTTCCAGCATTTGTGCGATGTAGTCATCTCTAAACAAAGCCTTTCGTTGATTCTCTCAAGTGAGGTTTTATTGTTCCTTCTAGCCAGGCCACTCCAAACAATGGCAGTTTCAAGGTCTATTTTTGAGCGATCATATATCGGGCATATCTTATCGTAAATATTTTTAAAAATTAACGTGTGAGTGAGTAGTGGAGGAAGTGGACGGGGAGGAGTGGGTGGGTAGGGAAGTGAGTTGGGTGGGGGAGTGGAGGGGAGGAAGGTTGGGGG